GCCAGGTGTGGTGGCACATGCCTGTAATCCAAGCTACTCAGTAGGCTGAGGCAGGAGAAATGCTTAAAACAGGGAGGCAGAGGTTGCAATGAGCCGAGATCATGCCATTGCACTCCAGCCTGGGCAACAAGAGTGATGCTCCATTTCAAAAAAGAAAAAAAAGCAAAAAAAAAAAAGAAAGAAAAGAAAAGAAACAAAGAAAACCTTGTTATTCTGATATGTGGGCCCACATGCTGATCTTTCATCAGTGTGCTTTTGACATTAATACTTAATTTATAGAGAAACTGAACTTATTTATCTTTCAAAATTGGCTGTTACAATCTCACGCACCCACATCTTCCACAATAGTCTTTGGGCCTTGAAGAGTTGAATAGCTTTAATTTCTGACCCTGTGTCTCAGGAATGCAGTTTATTTTGATTGGCATCTACTATGGGGCCTGAAGATTAGGCTTTAATTGCTGTCAGTGTTTAAGATTTAGCAGGACTTGGTGTCCTTTTAGACCCAGGAATCAAAGCCCTGTAACTCAATGTCCCAAGGACTTTAAAAGCATTTACAGCAAGATACAGGGATGTAACAACCTTAATTTAAAAGATTAAATCTCATTTATTCTAAGAAAAACAAACTTAATAATAATAACATAGGAATAATTTAGATGAAACATAAAATCTGTTAGGACAGTTACTAAAGGGCAAAAAAAAAAAAAAAAAAAAAAAAGAAAAGAAAAAGAAATGACCTTCTGCAGTGCACAGAATATTATGTTGGAAGAAAACATTTCCTATAGAATGTTAAAAAATCATGGCTTTTAAAAGCAGAGAGAAAGTCAAAAAAGAGTAAGATGCAGTAAAAGTTGAACTTTGGGTTAAAAAATTAAAATCTCTTGTAATTTATTAAGAGTAAATCAACCCCTTGAGAAAATTTTATTGTTCTAACCAAAAATTTTATGTATAAGAGTTTATAAGTCCCCTTTAAATATAAATAACTTGATCATATAAAAAGTTTTCTAATTAAAAAATGAATCCTCTTACCTAGACTATTCATAACATGCTCCAACTTTCTTGTTTTTCCTGCAAATTTTTCTTCTTAAAGAATCAGTCATCTCATCTTAGGACTAAATTTGCCATACCTGATTCTTTTTCATATAGAATTATTTCTCTTTAACTTTTATTACCACAAAAAACCTTTTTATTTTTATAACTTTCTTTACATTTCTCTTATTTCCTGGTTCCTTTACCTTGTTTTATACTTAAGCTTTAAATAAGCTTTTAATTAGATTAAACTTATGTTTTCTAAAAAAAGACACAATTGTTCTTTAGCAAGAATGTTTTCCTACAATATATTTTTATTGAAAAATACTCAAATAATAGCATATCTATTAATTTAACTTTATATTCTAAATTATGACAAGTTTGTCTATTAATATTTATTCTATTACATTTACCTATTTTAATTCTTTACCTAGATTATTTATAAAAACTGTGATAGACATCATTTAAAGTTATGGAACCACCGCTGCAAAATGGTAACTGAGGCAGTGAAAAAGCGTTGACATAACTGATTCCATTTTGCTTTTAACTTCCAACCTGTCTTTCTTTATTTCTAGGCATAGGACTTTTATTTTCTTAAGACAATTAATTAGAATTCTTATATATTTTCAGTAGTGAAACTTTGGGAGGAATGCAGCTTATAGTTTAGTTTTAAAACAAAGACCATGACAGTTCTTTCCCAAAACAAACCTATTACTGTCTCTGGACTAGACTGCCTAAAGCCACAGGTATAGAAGCTACAGTAATCTTACACAATTCAAGATCTGGCTATTTTCATTAAATCAAATTAATGTGTTATTTATTTAAAAACACAGAAGTAAAGATAATTTTCTTGGGGCTGGGTTTATAGTTTTGCAAACCCTATGCCAAATTTTGACAACTTACAGTATTTGGCAGGAATAAGTATAAAATTGCGTGATTAATAACTTAAAAATGCTTTCTGACAATTTTTAAGATATTTCTAATATTATCAATAATTTTAAATCCTAAGCAAAACAAACAACAACAACAACCAAAAAAAAAAAAAAAAAAAAAAAAAAACAAAGCTGAAGGCATCATACTACCTGACTTCAAACTATATTACATGGCTACTATAATCAAAACAGCATGGTACTGGTACCAAAACAGAGATATAGAACAATGGAACAGAGCAGAGGCCTCAGAAGGAACACCACACAACTACAACCATCTGATCATTGACAAACATAACAAAAACAAGCAATGGGGAAAGGATTCCCTATTTAATAAATGGTGTTGGGAAAGCTGGCTAGCCATATGCAGAAAGCTGAAACTGGATGCCTTCCTTACACCTTATATAAAAATTAACTCTAGATGGATTAAAGATTTAAACATGAGGCCTAATGTTATTAAAACTCTAGAAGAAAACCTAGGCAATACCATTCAGGACATAGGCATAGGCAAGAATTTGATGGCTAAAACACCAAAAGCAATGGCAACAAAAGCTAACATAGACAAGTGGGATCTAAGTAAACTTAAGATTTTCTGTACAGCAAAATAAACTATCAATAGAGTGAACCAGCAACCTACAGAACAGGGAAAAAATTTTTGCAATCTACCTACTAGACAACGGGCTAATATCCAGAATCTACAGATAACTTAAACAAATTTAAAAGAAAAAAAACAAGGAACCCCATCAAAAAGTGGGCAAAGGATGAAAAGAAGTCATTTAAAGCTAGCTAATTTATTAAAGACTTAAGTTACATACAGTTGAAAGAGCATTTGACTAGTCTTATTTTTTCTTGATAGTGTTTGAGTGAAGCACTTGATTTTCTTAAGAGAATTAGAGTTGTTTATATATTTTCAGTAGTGAAACATTATGTACACAACACATAAATACATAGATGTATTTGGCATACGAACAGAATTACATCTCATAGATTCCTAAGACTTTTCTTCCTATTTTAGACATGCAAGCTCTTGATAACATGTTTTCTAACCATAGCAATTGTCAGCTAAATAGCCTTAAGTCTGCATATTAAAGAAAACAACTCAGGTGAAAATAAGCAAAATTTACATCATAAAGTACAAATAAAAAGTCTGGTGAGCTAGACAGAAATTAAAACTGATTTTATTGCCAATTGAACATAAAATTGTAGAAATATATTATAAAGGTCTTCGAATACATAGACACACATATAACATACACACATACGTACACACAATGTTCTTCAGCTTCTACTTCAGTACTTTAGCCTTAAGATAAATACTGGCTTGCAAAAAACAAACTAACAACTTCCTAGACCCAAAAAACAAACAACCTCTTGCAAAAAGCAAACTAACAACCTCTTAGACCCAAACAGTGGTTTTTATCTCAGTGGAAAAGTAACAGCAGATTTAAAGCAGACAGAAAAGAAAACAGAGGAAAAGGGGACCTAGGAACTCTACAGTTTGCCAAAGTTAGGGCTGTTTTTCCTTAAGGTAAATGTGCACAAAACTGTTATTACTTACCAGGAGTCCCCAAACTACGGCCGGCCCGCGGGCCGCATGCGGCCCCCTGAGGCCATTTATCCGGCCCCCCACCGCACTTCGGGAAGGGGCACCTCTTTCACTGGTGGTCAGTGAGAGGAGCACAGTATGTGGCGGCCCTGCAACGGTCTGAGGGACAGTGAACTGGCCCCCTGTGTAAAAAGTTTGGGGACGCCTGACTTACACTGTACTCTGGCCAGTAGTGGTGCCATAAAACCTACACAGTGCTCAAAAGGTGGTTATTCTGCCTGTTTTCTCCTTGTTCTCAGATTATTTGTTCCCTCTTCCATTTTTCTTAAAAGGAGGAACTGAAGTGTTGCCTAGGGTTTTTGTGGGGCGTATCTATACGTGTTGCTTGTAGGGAAAATCCCACAATGTGTCACCTCGGAGTTGTTTCTACCCTCTTAAATGTCTGTTTCCCTCTCCAGAGGTCATGACCTTTGAGAAGTTTCAAACATTGTGTCATCAGCCCTTATATATATTTCCTGGATGAGTCATTTAAAAAAAATTTTTTTTTTAAGGATTTCCCTGCAGAGCTGCTGCACATCATTGGGAATCAACTTCCCAGACACCTCCACAAGGCCCTGGGACCGAGGAGTACCTTTCAAGTTGGAGGAACAAATCCACTTTCTTCGAAGCTGAGAAAACTCAGTATCTCATTAACCTATGAAAACAACAGTTCAGTTCCTCATGCAAATATGCACAGACAACCCAAATTAAGATTAATTTTGGGAGAACAAGCAATAGAGAACACCCTTTAGAATGCATCTGTGAACTAGAATTAGGATTCTTAAACAACAACTTTCTAGGAGAAAAAAAGAAAAAGCAGCCAAGACCACTTTCTGTAAACTGCTCAGCTACTTCTAACTTTGTAGTTCTCATCTGCTATTACATATGCCAAGGTCAAATCCACTCCCAGTGCAAAGTCACCTCTGGTACCCCAAAAGCCAAAAAGTTCAGGTCATGCAAAGAATCTGCCCATGACTCTTGAACTCCACAAAGAAAACACCCAAAAGAGAGGGAGCAGAGCTTTTGTTCTGAATTCTTGAAAGAAGTTCAAGTCATTAAAACCCTTCTCTAGACTTTTTGGAACTGCAGATGACAAAGGGAGAAAAAGGTATAAGGTGAAAAAAATAAAATGAAAGAACATTTTTTTTTAAGACAGGAAGCAAACATAGAAACCAAACACATAGTTTTTTGTTGTCTCCTTTTTTATTTTATTTTTTTTACAGCTGTGAGGAATCTTAGCCAAATTAGGACGTTTTACTCATAATTCGGAATTCTCACTCGGATTTGACCAAGTCAGCTAGAGTTGGTAAAATCCAGTAAGAGAAAGACCGGAGCAAACAACAACGACAAAATAAAACTGACAATATTATCACTAAGCACTCTAACGGCAAGGAAAAATTAAGACCAGCTAGTTGTTAAACTTAACTTTAGTCAAAACAAATCCCAGTTCGCTTACTTACCCAAGGTTGGGTCTCAGGCTGAAGAATTCTCTCTACAATCCTAGAAGAAGGAAAACAAAACAAAACAAACAAAAAGCCTCATCTTCGCTGTTGGAAGTGAGTTCAAACTTCATAAAGGAGTTATCTGCTTTCCATCATCATGAAAGCAGAAAAAAACTTGCCTTTCTTGTTTTAGAAGCAAGTAAAACTCCAAAAACAAGAGGAGTTGTACAGCAAAATAAACTTCAGATCTCAACTTAATTTAGGAAGGTAAGGGATTCTCTGCAGGGGCTGCTCTCAGACCTCAGCAAACTGTCCTATTTGTTTGAACCGTAAAGTTAGCTCATGCCAGGACCAAGCACCAATAGAGGATTTGCCAAAGGTCACGTGCACCTCCACTCAGAATCTCTTCGTGGTTACCAAATGTGAACCCTGAAAATTTGAGACAGGTTGTAGTTAATTTAGAAAGCTTATTTTGCCAAGATTGAGGATGCACACCTGTGATACCGTCTCAGCAGGTCTTGATGAGATATGCCCGAAGTGGTCAGAGCACAGCTTGGCTTTGTTTCTTTACCTTTTTTTTGTTTGGTTTTAAACATTTTAAGGAGACATAAGACATAAATTAACATACGTAAAATGACCCTGGAAAGGCAGGACAACTCAAAGCAGGGAAGGGGCTTTCAGGTCACAAGGAGGTGAGAGACAACCTGTTGCATTATTTTGAGTTTCTGATTATCCTTTCCAAACGAGGCAATCAGACATACATTTATCTCAGTGAGTAGAAGGATGACTTTGAATAGAATAGGAGGTACATTTGCCTTAAGGAGTTCCCAGCTTGACTTTTCCCTTTAGCTTAGTGATTTTGGGGGCCCAAGATATTTTGCTTTCACATGACAAAAAAAAAAAAAAAAACTAATTCTGTACAATATTTGAAAATATTTATTCTGAGCCAAATGTGAAGACCATGTCCCATGGCATAGCCTCGGGAGAGCCAAGATGTTGAGTTACAGCTTGATTTTATAAATTTTAAGGAGACACAGACATCAATTAATATGTATGAGCTATACATTGGTTCTTTCTGAAAAGGCAGGACAACTCAATATGGGGATTTACAGGTCATAGTAGATTCAAACATTTTCTGATTGGCAATTGGTTGAAAAAGTTAAGTTATCTAAACACATGAAATCAATAGAAGAGTTTGAGTTAAGAAAAGGGGTTGTAAAGACTAAGGTGCTTATGTAGATGAAGTCTCACAGGTGGCTGTGTTAAGAGGCAATAGATGCACATGTTTCCTATTCAGACTTTTAAAAGGTGCTGGACTCTCAGTTAATATCTTCAGGTTCAGAAAAAGAGCTGGAGAAGCAAGGGGATCCTCTGCAGATATAAATTTTCCCCACAGAACAGAAAGGCAGGAAAACTCAAATGGCCCTTTGTAGGGCCATTTCAAAATATAATACAGAAATATATTTTGGTGTAAATATTTTGACTTATTCTAGGGCTGGTATTTGTCATGTGATGCTATATCAGAGTCAGGTTTGAATTTAACATCTTATTGCTATAGTGTTTTGTCAGTGTTAAGATTTCTGTTTAATGTTAATGCTGATCAGTTATGCCTGAATTCCAAAGTTAAGAGAATATAATAAGACTTGTCCCAGAACCCCTTCTTCCCATCATGGTCGGAACTAGTTTTTCAGGTTCTTTTGTAATTCCCTTGGCCTAGAGAATGGATCCATTCAATTGGTTGGGGGGCTTAGAATTTTATGTTTTGTTTATAACAGTAAGAACACAGCAGCGAAGAGGTTCTCTATTTGTAATTGCCTTCTGTAAACCTTTCTGAAAATATTGAGAAATACAAATAAGTCTGGGTAAAGAAATTCATCTCTGTCTAATGTCATCATTATTATAGTAACACTATGTCAGACTGCTTTTTATAGTTTCTGATCTGACTTACTAAAAACCTGGATTGGTGGATTGTAAGGTGATTTAAAACATGTTCTATTGTAGTTGATGCTCTATGAATAACTTAGCACAAGTGTTACTTTTGCTGATAAGAACATTTTCTTTTTTCTATTTCTTAGTCTTTTAAAAAGGAGTTTGTTGCATATATTGAAAAAACATTGAAATTATTTTTCTATGCAAAGCATGGTAAAAGCTCTAATTCTTTATGCACTGGGGATAAAAGTAAATAACCACCTAAGGTAGATGTAAGAATGCTAATATTCATAACTCTGATATGTCTTATAACCTCTTCTAACATTTTCTATGTGTTAATTGAAACTCCAATCTATTAGAAATGTAATTTAAAATGATTTTGTTGTATATCGGCATGTGACCTAGATTTATGCTCTATTTATTTACAGGGTGCCTGAAAGAACTAAATGTCTGGTAAAGTAGTATTTACTCAAAATGAAAAAAAGGTAATTACAGGTGAAGGAAAAATCCATCTAAATAATATAGATGAAAAGCGTTTCCTCATGATTGAGGTGACAAGGTTTCAGTCACATTGAGACTGAATGTCTTTCACGCTATTTACTTCTAACAAACTACAAGTGTGAACCTCATGGACAGGTGAAGCAGGATTGAGCTGGAGGCGATGACAGTTCTGCATTTACAACATTAATAACCAAGAAAATAAGGTGAGTGAATTATAATAATTTTCTACATTTTCCTTTGATTTTTATCCCTTCTTTATTGAACAAAAATAACCATGAATAAAATATATTTTATACCTGTCCTAGTTATACATAACACAATACTTCATTGGCTATAAAGAACAGAAATAGGCATTGATAAAAAGTATTTTAATTATAGCCTAAAACAAAGCCCTTCTAACAGAAAGATCAGTAACAAAGAATGTGTAGCCTTTAAAGAACACAAAAACAAAACAAAACAAAACAAAAAAAATAGGAAGTAATGTCAACAACATGGTAGAGGAAGAGTTTCCAGCACTTGTTGCTTTACACAGACATCAGTTGTAACAACCATGGACAAAGTACCTTTACAGGGACCAATGAATCAGGTAAGAGATTACAGCATCTGAGTGAATCACAAAACTAAGGAAAGACAGTTTGAAGAGGGTAGGAAGAACAGTTTCATATTACTGATACCACCTTTCCCTCAATTCTGTGCATCAAAAAAAGAGCTATTGTAGAAAAAATACATTGAAATCCCCAAAGTATGTTTTTCTTTATGTGGAAAGGAGAGTAAAATGAGCACCCAACTTTACAATAGACCCCAGCACAAGACCCATTCCAGAGAAACTCAGTACTATTAATATGTCAGGCCCTCCAGACCCAGGCTCCAGGACTGCCCCAGCACGAGGCTGGCCTATGAACCCAGTCTCTAGGCTCTCCCTTATGGATCTAAGCTTCAGGCTCACCACAGTGTCAGGCCAGACCCTACAGTCTCAGGCACCACACTGGTATCTGTGGCACAGACTTCAAACCATCATCCACATACCTAGGCTTCAGGCTGACTCTTGCAAACCCAAGCTCCAGAACCATGCCAACACCAGGCTGAAACCCAAGAATCCAGGCTCCAGGGCTTTTCCACAGTCCTAGTAACAAGCCCAACCCTAAGGACCCTCATACAAGGTCAGCTCCCACAGATCCAGTTAGAAACCCATATTTATGGTCACTGATATTGGCTCTGCACCAATGCCAGGCTATCCCCTAAAGACTCAGGCCTGACGCTTGGACCATCACTGTGCTATCCTTCATGGAGCTAGGCTCCAGGTCTATCCTAGTGGACTCTGGCACCAGGCAAAGACACAAAGAGGGTCATTATATAATAATTAAAAGATCAATACCCCAGGAGCACCTAAAAATTGTGAAGATATATGTACTCAATATTGGAATAACTAAATATATAAAACAAATGTTAATAGAATTAAAGGAAAATATAAACAGCAATACGGTAATACTAAGGGACTTTAATACCGCACTCTCAGCAATGACAAGTCATCCAGAGAGAAAATAAAAAAGAAAACAGAAGAACTTGAATAACGCTAAAAACCAAGTGGACCCAACAGACATACACATATACAGAATATTTTATCCAACAGCACAGAATACACATTGTTTTGAAGTACACACAGAACATTTTCTAGGACAGATAATATTAGGCCACAAAACAAGTTTCAACAAATTTAAGAAGATTAAAATCCTATTAAGTATCTATCCTAATCACACATTATAAAACTATAAATAAATTACAGGAAAAACCCTGAAAATTTACAAATATATAAAAATTAACAAATATACTTCTGAACAACCACTGGGTCAAAGAAGAAATTGAAAGAGATATCAAAAAATATCTTAAGACAAAGAAAAATGAAAATACAATTATCAAAACTTACAGAATGCAATAAAAGCATCTATATGAAAGAACTTTTTAAGCAATATACACCTACATTAAGAAGAAAAAAGGATTTCAAATAACTGAATTTTACAGCTCAATACACTGGAAAATAAAGAACAAACTAACCCCAACATTACGAGAAAGAAAATAATGAAAGTGAGAGCAAACTTTAGCAAGGCTATGTAAGAAAAAAGACAAATAGGAATGAAAGAGGAAACATTACAAACTATACTACAGAAACAAAAATGGTCATAAAAGATTACTGAGTAAGTATGCTACAACAAATTGGCTAACTAAAAAGAAGTGAATAAATGCCTAGAAACATACAATCTACTGGGAAAGGATATAAAGGAATAGAAACTCTGATCAGAAAAATTACAAGTAATGGAATTAAGTCATAAGCTACAAAATCTCCCATCAAACAAAAGCCTTGAACTTTATAGCTTCACCAAACATTTGTGGAAAAAATATTATCAATGCTTCTCAAACTCTTCCTAAAAACTGAAGAGGAGGGAACACTGACAAACTTATTTTAGAAGGCATGCATTATCTTTATATCAAAGCCAAAGACACTACATGCAAAGAAAAATGACAGCCCAATATTTTTAAGAAACATACATGCAAAAATTCTTAATAAAACACTAGCAAACTGAATTTATTATGTATTAAAAGGATCAAGTGCCATGACCAAATGGGACACATCCTTGGGATGTAAGCACGGTTCAACATATGCAAATTAATAAATATAATTTTATCCACACTTAACAGAATGGATAAAAGTTATATAATCATCTCAGTAGATGCAGAAAAGGCATGTGAAAATTAAACATTTTTTTCTGATAAAAACTCTCAATAATTTATTTATGGAATGAATGTACTTCAACAGGAGAAAGGCTACATATG